AATCTTTAGTTAATGTTATACGTATGCAAATAATGCCTTTAAATGTTAGGGTGCTGTTTGGGTTGCCGTTATAAATTGCTACACAAAATATCTCCCCACCCCCACCGCGTGATGCAGAGTTGATTATCGTGTGTATGAATGATGCATCAAAAGCACCTCACATACTGAGTCAGGGTATCTTCCACTAATGAAGTCCCCAAAGAAATGCACCACAGACCTTCTGAGCTGCGATATTCTGATGGCTCGGATATATCAGAGATAGCTAAAATAGCGTTAGATATAAGATCTCCCTAGCAAAATTCTCCAAAGAAGCACACGAACATCAAAGAGTCTTAACTCTTAACTCCTATAAAATATTCTTCTATTTGGATTGATAAGAAATTAGGGTAGTGCCCTAGATACATAGCTAAGAGAACTAATGTGGCTCTTGAATTGTTGTGGCGGCTTGTTTTTATAGAATTATAAACATATTGAAATAATTAATTTTTGCCTTACAAAAATACATCACTTTTTTATTTGCAAGTCTACAGCACATGGTCATAATATACTTGATTTCTCACTGCTGACCAAATACAAACACTAATAATGCTCAAGGGCTGCACATTAAATTGAATTGAAAAGTGCCTACCTTTAGCTCTCTCAAGACTTTCCTGGCTGCTTTCTATGGTTAACTATTGGCTCCACTCACATAAATGAAACAAGCAAATTCTCTATCAGATCAGACCTTATCTGTTGAAAATAGACATTGTCACAGACCATTCCACATGATGAAATAAATTCCTATCTTCACTTCTTATCATGAAATAATTAGAATATTTCAGTTCTGCACCCTGAGTCATAAACAATGATGAAAAGCTAGTAATTCAATTAGAAATCAGATTCTTTTTCTAATGAGCAGCAATATATTGTGATATCAGTATTCAAGCCTGGTGCTAAAAAGGAAATATTTGCAGGCTTGCTAACAACTTCACTGAGCTCTCTTGAAAATATGGACCTCTTGGTGCCCAGCCCTGAGAGTGACTGTAAGTCCCTGAGTTCCTGCTCTGCAAGAGACTGAGGGCTACATATGGAAGTTAAATCTGGGAACTGGAAATTGGTTATGAAAAGATGTTTCAGTAGCAACCCCCTGTCCCTGGGTGCTTTGTAAAAATTGCTCCATGTCGAAGCTGGTGCCTCCATGGGGTGCCTCCATGCCATCTCCTAGTGTGGCCACCAAGTGCCACAAAGTCAAGCCCTGTCTTCTGCTTGCCCCACGCCTTTCCTCCAAGGAACAAGGTAATTTGTGCCCACATATTGCTGCTCTGAGTATCTCCTCTCCCCAGAAACCTGCCCTGCACTGGGGTGGCATGGATGTGCCAGCTGAAACGCTGCAGGGAGTGTTTTGCTGTCTCACTGCCGCAGAGCCCCCATCGCTGTGTTTTAGCACATGGCACTTGAAAACAAAGTTATCAGAATAAACCTTTTAGCTATAAATTGCAGGTATTAAAGATCCATGTGATAATTGTCTTATCTGGCTCCAAATGTGCTTATGATGCTGAGAGAGAGCAAATTGGATTACGCTTGAAACAGGCTCTTCCATTTTCATAAATTACCTGGAAAAGCAGTGAGGGCTCAGAAATGCAGACGCCTTGTTTTTGACAGATTGTGATTTTGTTGAAGGATCTCGTGGAAGGGAACAAGCAAACAAACAAGCTGAGAAAGGTCTTTCTGGGAGGAAAGGATGGAGAGTTAAAAAAAACATGAACCAGCCCTGCAGAAATGCAGCAAAGCAACAGCAGAGGAATGTGGGGAATACTAAGTGACAGTGCACCCAACCCCAGACCTGGATAAAGTCTGGGGTAAGGTTATCAGCGAAGAACCATTCTGTGTCCCTCAGCTCATCTCAGCCAGGTTCCATGGGGTCAGATTGTCCATGCTGAAATTCGTGTTTTTCTCTGGCAGTGGCACCTCCTTGCTCTGCCCTCCACAATGGGGGAGCCCACACATTCCTCTGGGTACAGCACCATGGACACCCAAACAGCAAATTTCTAAAATGCTGGTACTCATAGGGACCACACCAGTTTTCAGCTGCCTGGGACCAGATGGGGCTGTAGCTTTTGCTCCCCATCCTCTGAAAGCCACTAGAAGCCAAATCCTTGGTGGCATAAAGGAGTTGTGCAAACCATACCTTATTTTAATGCTTAATTCTAGCTAGTTAGAGACAAATGGGAACAAAAGTGGCAGAAGATATGAATGGTGTTTTAATGCAGGGAAGCTCTTCCAAAATACAGCAAAGAATACAACATAGCTGTAATAAATATGAAAACTTTCTGGGCTCTGGTGTACATTAAATCTTGAGTGTTTGGTTAGTGATATTTACCATACTCCTGACACAGATGATTTTTTCATTTCCCCATCTTTCTTTCACTCTCACCCCTCTTTTTGGAGGAGAAAGGCTGAAATATGTATTTCAAAGCAGGTTGCTGAATTCATAAAATATGTTTTAAGATATTTCTCCACTCTTGTCAGCTCTTTGTAAAAACTCCTTCGTAAGCTCTTTGGAGATCCTAAGTGGATTTTCCTCCTGTTGGTTTGCTCAAAATGTTTATTTTTGAAAATTACTGGTATTAAAAATAAAAAAAAATACAAACAAACCAAAAGCTTTTAGAAAGGTGAACTGAGAAAGGAAACTCAGACAAAGCTAGGAAGGGTTTAGCATTAAGGAATATACAGAAAAATGCAGTGAGGCTCCAGTCTGGGTCTTCAGCTGGAAAAGCAGCTCTAGGGAGCCACAGATGGGTCTGTCCTGGAGCCAGATGTTATGAGCCAAGGTCAAGAGAAGCCTTTTGCTGTGGTCTTGGGAAACTTATGACCAAGGCTACATGTTTCCAAGGAACAGTTATTGCAGCAAAATACTCTTTCTTGTGCCATATTTAGAGACATCCCTGGAGAGCCTCACCAGGTCGGGCTGGTCTCCTGGTGTCAAGCCTGCAGCAGCCAGAAGGGGTGGGATGAGGGAGGACTGGGCTGATGCCTCTTTCTTCTGCTCACACTCCGACTGTGAGAAGGGGAGCCAGGCTAATATGCAGTACTGAAATTTTACTGTCTTCAAGGCTCATCTTCCTAAAGCCAACTGCCTTCATTTTAGGGCAGTAAATTGCTGGCAGCACAGAATAAAGAGACTGAACTTTCTTTATTACTCTGAATTTTCTTTATGGGTCTGCCAAAGAGCTGTTTTTTTTTTTTTTTTCTCTCTCTTTTTTTTTTTTTCCCCATTCAGTTCTGGCTCTTTCTTCATGCTCCCTCCCTATTTTCTGCTGTTTTTAATTTGCCTGTGAACACAACCAAAGACTCGCATGTGGCTTGTTTCTCCCTGTCACCTGCACACTTACTCTAGACAAAATCATTGGCACGTGGTAGCAGTGTAACTGCCTTTGAACAGCTGAGCAAATACATGAGTTATTGCTGGCTGTTAGAAGTTGGGAGGAAAGAGAACAGCAGAGCCTCATACCTTTGGTGTAACTCTGTGCATTTATTAAGAATGTATATGAAAAAGGCACATTTCCCAGAGGAAGAAACCAGAGTAAGAAGGGTCTTTTCCCACGCATAGCATCTGAACTGCCCCAGCAGTGGTCTCTGAAAGCTTCTTTCCAGGCTTTTTGGCAGCTATGCTTGGGCGTCATCTCTGTAAAATATCTACTGTTCCTCTTTTTCTCTTTCCCACACACATCTAAAGCATCCCTCCCTCATCGTATTCAATAGAATCTTAGGGAAAACTCCTTTTACCACATCATTCAGGTTCACAGGTGTCTTGGTGTGTGTCCTTCTTGGAGCAGCTATTTCTGCCTGCATTTTGGGGAGGGCTCTGCAGTGACCAGTGGCTCCCAATCCAATCCAATCCAATCCAATCCAATCCAATCCAATCCAATCCAATCCAATCCAATCCAATCCAATCCAATCCAAAAACCAAAGGGAAGAGGCCAAAGAGCTGACATGAGCTCCTAAAAGAGACAAAACCAGCAAGGAGAGGGTGCACTGGTTAAATCCTTGCACGTTTGCCTCATTCATCCCCCCTAAGGCAACATCTTTATTGTGGTCTTTGCTCCTACACAAGCCCACACATCATTATAGTTGTTTACATACCATCACTAGCAATAATAATAATAGCTAAGTAATAATTCTTCATTTGAATGTGATGAACGGCTGCATCTCTCAGTAAAAATAAATACATGGGGAAAGGGAAAATACATCATTGTTACTAGCAAATGAGGCATAGTGCAAGAAATTAAAATATCTGGCTCATGGAAAAGCAGGGAAAAACAACTTTGCAAGGAAGTCTTAAACCAACAGGCATAAGGATCATTTATCGAATGTAAGAGAAATTAATAGGAAAAAGGGATAATTAAGAGAGATATAAATGTTTGCTGAAGTTCTGTATAACTGAATACCAGCAGGCATAAAATTAGAGCTCAAATAAGAACATAGATTAGAGCTGCATACTTCGGCTGACACAATCAGTTTGTACAGTTTATAATTTTATTTTTGAATTTTATTTTATTTCTACATTTTTAAAGGATAAAACACATCCAGGCAAGACAGACCCCATAAGTTCCCCGACACTTAAATGCCTAGCTCAGTAATGGAGCGGATGAAGTTAAATTCCCCCTTTCCGCGCAGCGAGACACCCTGCGGCAGCCATCCACCCCAAGCACTTCTCCCTCTGCAGGCATTTTCTCTACTGCTTGTATAGTAAACGTAGAAAAGGGAGGAAAGCCACCCATCCCAGGGACTGGGACGCTAGCAGCACACTACCTGCCAGCCAGGCTTCCCCATCCCACGCAAGAGTACCCTTAGGCAACCCTGCTGAGCAGGCAAAGCCTGGGATTTCAGGGGCTGGTGCTGCCAAAGTTCAAAGGCAGTTCAGGTGAATGCTGCCAGCTGAGAGCTGTTAGGGCAAAGCCCAGCCTGCTTAAGGTGAAGGCTTTAAAAGGGAAGGAAAGGCAGGTGAGCTGGCTGTTTGCCTGCAGAGGTGATGTGGGGTGGTGAGACGTGAGGCTCAAGGTGGGTCATGCTATGCAGTGCTCCTCTTACACCTTTCAACATTTTGCCTCTGTGCTTCCAGGCTTGTCACCTCCATGCAGTGGGTGTAAGGCCAAGCTGGCAGCTCTCTGCTCTGGGCAAAGACACCTCTGCTAGACCCTGACATAGGGATGGCAGCTGCTGCTCTCACCTCTCAGGGCTTTGCTGGGCTCCTCCTTTTCCTCCTACAGCAGTGGTTGCGCTGTACTGGGGCAGGGCATGGATGCTTGGAAGGGAAATGTTGAAACTTTGGGGCTCTTTGGTGCTCTAGGCACCTAGGAATCCAAATCATTTTTCCAGGTGGGAAGAGGCTCTTGTTTTCAGTCCTTAAAGGTTTGGATTTTGTTTGGTGATGTGTCAGGATTTAGCTTGCTTTCTGAAGCTGGATGTATTGGATTCATGACTTTGATGGAGCTTTCTGTACCAGTGAAGGGAGAAAGCAAATAGATTAGAATTATTAATTTAATAGCACTCTAAAGCAGCTTGTCCACAACCTGCTGCGCATCCAGAATATGTAGCAGTGAGGAGGCATAATGTTTCAACACTTAAAAAAAAAAAACACACAAACAAACAACCAAACTTTCAGACTCATGCTGGAAAAATTATCATGCTTGTGCTCTCTAGTATAAATATGTCAATATTAAAATCATGCTTTTTTATGCTTGTAAGCACTTTTCTGTAAAGAGGCTGCAGCCTAACTCCACCAGCATCAGTCTTGAATAGCTGTGCTTGAGCGTGGCACAAAGCAGGGACCTAAGACCTGTCTCATCAAAGGCAGCCTGTATTTCTGTTCCATGCTTTTCTTCTTCTCCTGACCTGTTTACAGACGGCTGTTTATCCCCGGTCTCTGTCAACATGCTCAGACACAAAGCCTTCAAAGGTGGCCAGAAGTACTTCTTGCCTTTTGCTCTAAGTCCTTTCACCACCCCACTAGAGATGAGCTGTACTGTTTAAAAATAAAAGATTGGGAATGAGTCAGAGGCATGAATGCAAGTGATAACAATTAGGAGCTGCTGCTCAGCGTTGATTGTTTGGCATTTGGGCAGCTGCTCCAAGCCCTGCTGGCTGCAGTGTGGGGCTGGGCTGGTGGCAAGGCAGGGCATGCAAATCTTGTTCATTCACAGCAAAGCTGGAAACTAATTTCAGGGGCTACTGAGGTGAATTTCACATAAACCTTCCAACCAGCTCACCTGTACAGACCTACATGTTTATGCAAGAAAGCTGGGGAGTTCGCTGCTTCTCGGGAGCTTGTACCACTAATTGCTGTATTATTGCTCTTACAGTGTGTGTGCGTGTATACGTGCTGGAAAAAGATCGGATTTCTGTGTTATGGCTGTGTAAAAGGAGCAACATCTATATTTAATGAAGGTACATCATACGCTTATTACTCTTTTTCTGAAGTAAGGTGTTTTAGCTTCTCTTTAATATAAGAGGGTGAGAAGTCACCCGGTATGCCCGTAATTAATCATGGGCCCAGAGTACATTATTTCATTTTTGCAGGGATCCAGACTCTGAATGTTCATTAAAACTTAGTTCACCCTTTACTTTTATTTCCTAATGACTAATGTTGCCACTGGCATAGAGAACTGGGGAAAGGTCTCTTTACCCCTATAGTGATGGAAAGGCTGGGACCAGGCTGCTGTCATCCTGCTCATGTGGCATCCTGTGTTAGGATATGCTGATTTCTGACCACAGGCTTTCTACTAGGAAAATACAGAAGGTGGCCACTGTGATTTCTTGAAGTGTAGGCACTGAAGTAGAAAAGAAGCTCTTTTTGTTTAACAATGAGAAAATATAGGTTACAAGGAGTAACCTATATTTTACCTGCAGTAAAAACCAAGTATAAAGTTTAGCAGTTTTGTTTATATATATATATATATATATCATAGACTGACTTTCTTCTTTTATGGACTAGAAAAGACTTGTGTTATGGGGAAATTTGCTACGAGTGTTACAGAAGACAATGGGACACGCTTCCAGGTGGGAAAGCAGCATGTTGGCTCAGTCTCTCACACACTGAGACACCAGCTGTCCCATATAATGTGGGATTTCCTGCAGTACATTCACAAATCCTGTGCCCCTCGTTAAGTTGGCATTACCTGGACAGTAGCTTCAGCAGGGGTGTTCAGAAGCAGTCCATCTGCTACACCTAGCTGGCAATAGGCACTGTTACTCCCTAAAAGCCTTACTGCTTGCAGGGTGCGTAGGGCTCCCCATCAGTCCTGTGCCTCCTGTTTGGGATCTCTCCACTCCTTCCAGGCTCTGGTGTCCCTCTGGTCCCTCAGTCAGTGGAGATTAAGGTCCAGTGATGGTTATCAGAGCTGGGGAGGGCAGGTGTTATGCTCATCAGTGGTTTGATCCCCATTGTAAATGCTTTAAACCTGGCAGCCCTGTTCTGACTTCGGTCAGAAAAAAGGAAATGCAGAAATCCATCATTTCTACTGCATCTTCCTTCGATCACTATCTCCAAAACATCTTGTCATTTTGCTCCCTTCCTCTCCAAGTTCACAAGGCAAAAGTCGCACTGAAATTAATGAAGACACTGAGATTCAGCCTTATGAAATAAGAAAGCTGGGCTGTATTAATTTTCTCCAAGGGCTTTATAACCTCAAATTCAAATGTTACTAATTAGCAAAGGTCACAAGGGAGAAAACCTAGGACTGAAAGGGGTTGCAATTAGGAGCATGTAACTGGAATAATTCTTCAATTTCCATGCATGATGAAATGAATCTGTCCTGGCAGAGCTAGTGTGAATAGAGGATGTGTTGTGGTACGTGTTGTGAAGTGTTTGTATTGTCTAGGAGTAAAGAAAAAGCTGTTTGTGTAGCAGCATGTTTGGCAATGCTTCCATGCTTGATCTGTTCCCTAAAAATGGTTGGGTGTGGTTGTGCTGAGCTCCAGATGGGGGATTCACATTAGGTTCAGAGGACAACAAGGTTAATTTTTGAAACAAGTTTAAAACAGCTCAGGGCTAAGCTGTATTCTACATCTGAGGGTCTTGCAGGAATCTAAACTGAGAAGAAAATGCATAGAAACTTCTGTAAAACTGCACCAGAATGGAGAGAAGTAATTCAGCTTGGAAGAAATGCAGCCCATGTCCCTTGGTTTGGATCCTGTTGGAATAACATACAAGGGAAGCATCCCAAAATGTGCAGCATAAAGGTCCTCAGCTGCAGGAATGGTGTAAAACTGTCCCCCCTCAGGGGTGGGTGAGACCCTGAGATATTCCCATGCTCCCCCATCTTCAGCAGGATTGGAACAATCATTTTTGGGGTTTTTCCTTGTTCTAAGAGAATTGCACAGGACTGTTCTTATTTTTTTCCTTTGAATTTGAACTTTTTAATATAACTTCTGAAATATGAACACTTTCTGTTCATGGAGTCCAGGCTGTGCCTGCTTTTATCACTTCTGAGAGCTCATTCGTACTCTTGTAAGGCATTGTATCCCATTCCTTTCAGCTGAAAGATTATCTCCGGGAACAGCTTACTCTTTGCCAGTGGGTCCTAAGGCGGAGGATCAGTCATGAGCAAGAAACTGTAATAAACGGGGCACTTCTCTCACTGACCTGCTCTGTCCTCTTGATGTAGCACTCTCACGGGTTTGCGAAGGTGCTCAGAGATTAATGTAGACAGAAGGAGAGGCAGTGCAGGGCCTCTGGCTTAACCATTCATTTTGATGTAAAGAGTATGTAGCAACAGTAGTTAGGGTGACAACCTGGGATTTAGGAAAGCTGTGCTCAATTCCCTGCTTCGCCATGTGTGACGTCGCACCTCTGTGCCGCAGCTCCACATCTCTATAATGGGACAACTGTATTTTCCCAATTCATGGGGCTCTTGGGAGAATAAATGCCTTTAAAACTGTAAAGTGTTCAGTTAGCCTGACTATGAGATCATATAAGTGTATTACACAGATACGGCAGAATCCCATGAAGGTGGATTTAAAATAATATTAACATCTATCTTCTTGAGTTTAATTCTATAAGAAGAGACCGTTCTGCACCTGCATTTCAGTCTATTAATCATATTGCTGGTTATCCATCACTCAGGATGTTCCCTGGCCATGAAAACCCAAAAGTGCTTTGTCACAAAGTGCATATTAGAATAAAGATTTCTTCCGTTTGATAGAATGCTGGGATATGACATTTTCTTAAGTGCCTTGTATTTTCTTCTAAACTAACAGTAGTTAATAAAACACAGTGATGATTTTTACAAGGTGTCCCGTAACTCAGAGAAATAGCTTGGAGATTTGAACTTTGCTCATCTTTCTAGGTGTCTTGCCTGGGCTCTACAGATAGGCCAATTGCAATGATTAAGGAGTTCTGTTAGCATCAGCACTATTCAGAGTTTTGGCTGCTTTATCTCTGTCTTGCATTCAGTCCCAGATGAAATCAAGAAGTAGAAAGGCAAATTGAGTGAGAGTGATTATTAATTAAAAGAAAGTTTAAAAGTTATCCAAACTTTTTCAGTCTCAAAAATAAATTCAAAAAAAAATCAGGTATGATGTCTTAAGCTCCTCGTACAAGTTGATATCTATTCCTTCTTTATCTGAGTCCATTCAAGCATACCACACAGTTGATATGGGCCCCATGTAGCTTTATCTGAATCAGTTCTCCCAAAGTCTTAAACTATATAATTAAGCTCATTTTAGTGACTGGAAAACTGCCACTAAATTTGAAATCTGTCATGGTAATTTCAAGGCTAAAGGAATTAAATTTAACATGAGATATTATTCCTAATTATTACCCTATCTTCAGCCTTTCTCTCTTGCTTAAATTCTTTTAAAGTTTTGTCCGTTCCGTAGCCACCTGATCACCAGAATTTTAATTAATGCTAATAAGGATGTCTGAACCGTGACTGCCCATAGATTACTCTTTGACTTAATAGTAGGTGTTCATCTCAAAGCCTCATTGTATTTGCTACTTGGGGTGACATAGCTGTCATGGCTTCCAGCTTTAATGCAGCTTTTCCTGAAATTGTTTGAACTGAATGGACTGAATGTAATGTGTAATTTCAGAGTAGATTACCACTTTTCTGCATTATGGCAGTCTTGCAACAGGGTAAATCCTTCCTGGAACCATTTGCTGTTGCCACTGATACCATGTTAGATGCAGGCTCTGATTTTTATCCCAGGGAAGTATAGATGAACTGCTTATACAGGCCACATTTTTGTTGGTAATTTAGATTATTGACTGCAGCAAATATCTTCATTGATTCTCTCTAATTACTGGCATCATGTTTTTCAGTGGTATGTAATAAGCTCCTCTAGAGTTCTTAATAGGATGAGTATTACTACAAAAGATGAATTTACTTCCATGGAGGAGAGGAGGATCTATCCTTCAAGGAGCAAATATCCACTGAAGGACAGTGGTTGCACAACACAGTTCTGTAAATGAAGAGGAAAGAAAAGGTTGGCTGGGAGAGGTTGTTCACCAATGTATTTGAATTTATGAAATTCTCTTTGGTTTTCCTGTGGCCACTGCTTGACTTCAGAAGCACTGATTTCTCTCTATTTTCCTCTTCATTTTCAGTAAATGATGTCATTTACAGAACATGACAATAGCTGGACTGGGTCAGACAGCTGACTGCCCCTGGAAACAGCCATGAGCGGACTCCTGAAGTACAGGACAAAGATATCATGGCAAGCTGTAGGACTTTGCCAATGTGTTCTCCCTGTTCTTGGTAGTCAGAAGGCCTGAGACTGTCTGAGCTTTCCCAGGCACCAATGTGGTGTGAATTTATATGCTGGTGGAGTTGATTCATAATGATTTTTGAAGGTGGATATAAGAAATGTGTGTTTTTTTTCCCCTCAAAATCTGTGCAGCAGGACATGATGGATGGGCCCCGATGTCACATCAGGGGGTGGTGTTCCTGGAGGCTGCAGTCGGGTACTGTGACTGCTCTTTGTTAGTGATACTCAAGCAAGCACAAAACATATTGCCAGTGCAGTAGATGATCTGAATTTGAACAAGAAAGCAATTAAAGCTTTCTTGAAAGCCAGATTTCCATTAACAGGTAGAAAAAAGCAAGCCCAAGGTTTCTTCTGCATCTTGCAACCTTATGTTCAGATAAGATGCAAACACAATATTCAGTGACTGAAGCACTGGAAATAAGGCAGTTGTGTTTGTTCTCAGGTATGGGCTTATGTACTTTCATCTAGGCACATCTTTTTGAATAGCGTGGCCTTCTGCGACACCATGGAGCATTTTTTTATGTGCAGACTTAATTGAAACAGTCTTATTTATAGCAGTGAATATTCATTCTTGTTAAAGTTGGTTCTGAGGGAGGCTAATAAATGTTCTCCTTTTCCTTTGCATCAGCTAATGATCTGGAAAACAAATATACTGCCATTCCCTGGGAAACCTATCTTGC